ATCTTGTGCTTATCATTAAAATTATGATAGTTAATTTTCCATTTTTTTGTAAACTGAAAATTTATATTCATGATTAAATTCAAATCCATGCTAGAATCAAAATTATTGATTAAATTATTAATAGTATTGCTCAGCATTAACAAGTTTAAAGGAGTACAATTACAAAATTCATTAATTAAATTTTTTACATTTTAATACACTTTTTTTCTTTTTAATTAGTTTCGGATTGATAAATCATTTTTTGTTAACTAAATTGGTGTGGATGCAATAGTTAAATCATCGTCGTCATAAACAACGGAAATAGTTTAGATAATTACAATTAGACAAATTACAATATTAAAATAATACAACTAACTTTAAAATATTAAATCAAGCAAAGCTTATGACTTTGCATTGGCTCGCCCCCCCCCCCAGTCAAAAAAAAGTTGGCACTCCACTGTACTCGCGTGGAAATTAAGCTTTTTTGCCTTTTGGCCAATCTCATCCCTGGGTGTAAAAACTTTAGATCTATTGCCTAAATTTTGTAACCAAAGTGTTGAAGTTAAAACATAGCTAAACCCATTGAACAATTGAAGTTATATTTGGTTGAATAAAAATCCTTTCATTGGATTAATAGAAATTCAGTTTATTTTTTTGCTCACCATATATTATTGAAGAAAAGTAACTATGACACTTTACCAATAGCTCATGAGTGCAGCTCTTGTGAGATGTAAAGAACTAAGCCAAATAAATAAAATGAACTATTTAATCAAAAAGCATAAGTAGCAAAATTATTTAAACTATTCCATTAAAAAAAATCACTGTTTTATCAAGATCAAAAATGTAATAATTTACTAAATTAAAATAATTTAATAAACAAAATAATTTAATTCAATTATGCCAAAAGTAATATTTTCTTATTTCTTTTAAGACTCTCAAGTAATATGATGTTCTACATGGGAAAATTTTAGAAACTGCAACTGCATTTCAGCAGCAGCCAATTGGTAATTAACATGTAAAGTATGTAGAAATGCGAATCATTAGCAAAGTTAGTTTAAAATATGGAATAAATTTTTGTTCTATCTAAATAGTCATGTGAGTAAATTTGTACTCTAATATTTCATTCCTTTGGTGGTTTTATATATTTTATGATGTGTCTAAAAGATGTATTCATTAAAATTAGTTTTTTCCTTAAAAGAATAAGTTTCTTTATTTTCTCACGGAAATTTTTTTCATTTCTTTTAGTAAAAGAATATAGAATGTTTACAATATAATTAAATTGTTAACAATCAATTATTAAAATATGTATAATAATTTAAAAATTTCCATTAATTCCTCTTAATTTAAATAGTTGAGTACTAAATACTTACTAAAAATATTTTATTTGCGAATAATATACCTGAAGGTGTGGCAATATTTCATATCTCTTTTCCTTTTGTTCCTGACTTTTATGTTCAAAAACTTAGAATTGAAATAATTAGGTATAGCAAATTTTCTGTTTGTAAAGTATTAAAAGGTTTGAATGTATTTATATTTTCACCTAATTTGAACTTTTTATTTTTGTTTTTCAATGCAAATTACTTCTAAATCTTGTCTGCAGTAATTTCCCTTAGATACGCCGCTTGATGACTTATCTGCCAGTAGTTTCTTTTTTCCCCGGGCTTCGGACAGGAATTCCGCAATCAACATGGATATTATAAAGAAAAGTTTATGAAAAAGTTTACAAGAAATATTAAAAAAAAAACAAAAACAGACTACCATAATTTGCTCTGATAAATGGTGTATATTTTTCTAATTTTTTAAAAATATATTGTGGAATAAGGTTGATTGACGATGGATTGTACGATGTCATTAACGAATGTGTAGCAAATTTCAATTTATGACATGAGAATAATTATATGTCTTTATTCTGGAGATATGAAAAAAAATGTGTTCTTGGTAAAAACAATTGCGCAGAGCAAAAAAAAAAAAAAAAAANAAAAAAAAAAAAAAAATGATTCGGGAAAAAAAATTATGAAGCTGAAATGGAAATTCAAACTCATATCTGGGAGTGGATGGGTGGGTGAAGCCATTTGGTCGAAAAGAGAAAAGAAAAAAAAATCTTGCTGATCTTATTGATGAAGTCATCAGCCTCACATGATCAGCATGTGGTGTTTTGCTTCCAGTCCCCCTCTAAAGAGATTATTAGACGGGTGGGTAAAACATGGTCGAAAAGAGTGAAAAAGGAGAAAAAATTCTTGCCTTTCTTATTAGTGAGGTCATGAGCATCAGATTAGTAGCATAAAATCAGATTAGTAGCACAAGGCAATGAACAAGTAGAAAAGGAATCATATGAGATTTTTACTTCTGTAGTAAATTTTTTATTGATAAGACTTATTTACCTTCTTTGTGCTTGTTAAAATGCTGCCATTGTCAACCATGGTGTGTCCTCACTTTTACGCTATGCTTAATGAGCAACTTTTATGAGACAACCATTAGGTTTGGTAAATGAAGATAAACCTGGCTTTGTATAATGAAAATAGCCTTATATGGACTTCACCAATGTGATCAAGAGTGGTTCATTGCTAATGTTCTATTTAAACTCAGTGGTGCAATTATGTTTACATGTATAAGTCTCTATTATTTTTATATGTTGAAAATATTGTAATTTTTGGAAAAAATCAACTAGATTAGATATTTATCAAGTACAGGGTGGCCACTCACCTGGAAAACCTGGAATTATCAGGGAATTTTTTTTTATACTGGAAAAAACCTGGAAAAATCAGGGAAATAAGGATGAAAACCTGGAAAAATCAAGGAATTTTAAAGAAAAGCTGGAAATTGTTTCTTAGATATTTTTTTAATTTCATTAATTTAAATTATTTACTAATTTTCTTGATTAGAATTATTTCATCCATTATACCCACATTTTTTAGACTGAAATGTATCTCCAAACAGTTAAAATATCATAAACTTAGCTATACTTTGCTTGCATCAAAATTTGCTCCATTTTAACCTTGTTAGACTAGAATGCCACGTAAAATTCTCCCGTGGTTGCTAAACAAATATAGAAACCTTTGATCTCTATGCAGACTATGAACTGAGCAATTTAGGGAAGCAAAGATTATGGTGGACAAGGAAGAAGGGGTTAGGATATTTGCTTCTGCTTTTAAATTCTGTCCATGGGCTGAATCCATTTATGGCTCAAGTTTGTTCGCAGTTGAGGGTGGTAATTTTTTTCTATTTTGACAAAATGTTTTTGTATTTTTAACTTTATAAAATTCTCCAAAAATTGGTTGGTTATAATTTAATAATACAGTAGGGAACCGATTATCCGGAACGATCGGGACCATCGCTATTCCGGATAAATGATTTTTCCGGTTTTCTGAATCGCTACAAAAAGCCGTTTTTTTTATTGCTAAACCCAACTAAAAAAGATTTTTTTTTGTGGAAATAATCTTAAAAAGAAGAAGAAACGACGAAGTAATACACTAATGATTATTTCCAAATTGATGGTAAGGTGAACATCTTTCAAAAAAGGAAGAAAAATCCTAAAATGTTTTTAGGAAAAATTTTTTTTTTTGAAAACCGCGGGAAAATGTATCGAATTTCGTTCCGGTTTTTTGGTTTTCCGGTTTTCTGATTTCCGGATAACGGGTTCTGTACTGTAATAGATTTTATATTGGACTCTTTTTCTGAAAGATTTTGGACTCCCATTTAAAGAAATCTGTAAATTATTTTTTCTCAGCAAATCAACCAATCACACATTTTTTTCAAACGCTAACAGCAATGTTTGTCGACAAATTGTTGCAATTCTTGCATTAATGCTAATTTTTTCTATTTCATTTTACCCTTTTATAACATATTTTAATTTTAAAAAACAAATTTTTAGAGCTAACTATATATTAATATTTAATTTTACTGTTTTGTTGATAAATATTACATTTTTGATTCAAAACTCGAATTGTATAGTTATTATAATATTGAAAGTTGGCACCGTAATTTAGCGCGTATAGTCCGCGGACTATCTGTGTTTAAAATGCGAACTTTTTGAAGCTGCGGACTATCCGCCAGTGCGGATAATACGCTGGTTGTTCACGGTTAAAATCTTTGAAATTTGTAAAACACGCTGTTGTGAACTGCCGATGATCAAATATAAATAACTGCGCGAGACCTTTCTTGGAATCACTTTCTGGAAACCACTATCCGCAAGAGAACTAAGTCTCTTTCCCTTCTGTCATATGAACAGCTATTGAGTGTAGGAAATGGGCGTGGAGTGGAGAAGCATAAATTAGAAGGGAATGAATGAAGGAAATCAGGGTGGGGCCTGTGATAACCTCAACTGGAAAACAAACACACCACCCCCTGCTTTTTTCAGGAAATATGTCTCTTCCACTTGTCATGAATGCCTCTCTCCACTCCCCTTTCTTCTTCAGCTGCTTGTTAAAAACATGTGAATGTTTGATGAATAAAGGGTGCTGATGAGCTTTGAATAACCTTGAATAATCTTACAATTAAAATGTTGCAGAAGAATTCGAAACTTTCAACTGAGGGTCAGTGAAGAGGGGAAAAGCTAAGTGTGTGAGAATTTTAGACAGGGGATAAAAGAAAGACCGTCCTAGGCGGAGTTANAAAAAGAAAAAACAGATTTGAGAAGCAAAAATAGGGGGAGGAATTGCTAAAAATAGAAACTTGTTTTAAATGCTTGGGAGAGCGCTTTTTATTGTTTTTTTTTCATTGCTCATATTTCTGTCTGATTTCGATCATCTTCCTCAGCTTATTATTATATTTTTTAAATCGTTTTATCTTCAATTCTGATGCATTTTTGTTTTATTAATATTTTTCTTTTGTTAATACTTTTGTTTAGTTTATACTATTTTTGTTTTGTTTTAACATTTTCACATTTCATTACCACTTATCACGAGGATAGCACGTTGCACAGTATTTTGTTTTCGTATTTTGTCTTTCATCTTCGATAGCGTTGATCCAACATTATGTCTGTGAAACATCGCCGGAGTTTTACTGCTGAGTTTAAACTCAAGGTAGTTGTGAAAGCTGAAAAAGATGGAAATAGAGAAGCGGGCCGTTATTTTGAAGTGGATGAGAAAGCGGTGAGAAATTGGCGCAAACAAAAGGATGTGCTAAAAAGCATGGGAAGAAAGCTATCCAATCGGCACGGAAAAGTAAAATGTCCAGCTTTAGAGGAAAATTTATTGAGATGGGTTCTCGACCAAAGAAATGCCGGACGCTCCATTTCAACAGTTAAAATCCGTCTCCGAGCGAAGTCCATGGCAGAAGAGATGCAGATAACGGATTTCAAGGGAGGAATAAATTGGGTTTACCGCTTCATGCGTCGTAAAAACTTGAGAGTTCGCAGCAGAATGACAATGTGTCAGGCTGTTCCGGACGATGTAGATGAAAAAAAAGCTTCTTTCCTTCAGTTTACAAGGAAAGTTATTGCAGAAGGGAAGTATTCCCTAAAAAATATTATAAATATGGACGAAGTTCCATTAACATTTGATTGCCTGCCTAATCGCACCGTTGATAATTGTGAAATGAAAACAGTATCAATAACAACAACTGGTCAAGAAAAGACCCATTTCACAGTGATGCTCGCCTGCTGTGCTGACGGCACAAAGTTGAAGCCGCTCTTAATCTTTGAGAGAAAAACAATTCCCAAGGAAAATTATCCTCGAAGTGTCATAATACGGTGCAATGAAAAGGATTGGTGCAACGAGGACATTATGCTAGATTGGTTTCAAGAAGTTTGGAAGAAGAGAGAAGGTGCCTTTTTCAATTCCAAAGGAGTACTAATTATGGATTCCATGAGGGCACACATAAAAGACAGTGTAAAGGCTGAAGCTTAAAAAAAAACATCGGTGCTGAACTTAGCGTTATTCCAGGTGGTTTAACAAAAATCCTGCAACCTCTGGATATTAGCGTGAACAAAAGTTTCAAGTCCGGGAGACCGGCAAAGCCATGATTATTAGAATCACATAATTCGAGTAAATTTTTTTTTTAAATATTATTATCGTTACTAA